AGCACTTACCCGTATACTTATAATAGAAGGAGACTGAATACCTAGTATTCAGTGAGACGGAGAATCGGAGAAATGAACCACAGCCAGGTGGTGTTTTGGCCCAGTCTCAAGCTATCGAAGTAGAACACGACCTTGTTGTGAACAAACTTAGAGTCGATACTTGGGGCAAGCTACGCACAACAGTGAACGATGTAAGATGACACGCCGTAACTCGCGCTCCGAGCCTACCACAAGAATTCTGACTTGATGGCAATAATCTCGATCCTAAGAGGCATTCAAACCTACGCCTCAGCGCTCCACGCTTTCCGAGCGAGTGAATCCTACGCTATGATTCAGTCATTAGGTCTCTCTCTCTGCTGATGAGGGCCAAGAAGACCAGCTGCCAACGGTTCACTTGAGACAGCTCACCGATTTCTCTAGTAGCATAACAAATTTATCCCGGAATCTTTCAGATTTATTACTATATTACATAGATACTATATATTTGAGTACAATGTGTTGGCAAAAGAACAAGAAAGACTTCCAAGAAAAGCACATCTGAGCTGCAAAAACAATTAATACAGACACCGTACATTATTAACAATAAGGCTATCCCTGGCGCTCCGTTGGATCACACGTTCCTAACCCACTGGATGGCTGCCATCCTTCTTTAGAACAGACAACTGTAGCTTGCCCAGTCACCGCATGTGACGCCAAGCAGTAAAGCAAAGCCGTCGTTCCAACTTCAAAGTTCTCTTGTCGCCCTGCTTGTATGTAGGTGATCTGAAAACAAAGGTAAGCTTCCAGTACCATTTAGCGGATCATTCGGATTTAGAGTACCATTCCGTTAGAGGGCGGTGTCAATGGCATACAAACTCCAGGCGTTGCACCGTCCGTGCCATCAGTACATTTCCCTAAAAGCGGGCGGAACGTTCCTCGAGTGCACGTGGCGAAAGAGGGTCCAACAACCCATCTCCCAAACGTGCATCGTAGCGCTGCGGTCGTCTTGGGAGGGAAGCCTTCCAATGTCGATGTCGCAGAAAAGGTGATCTGAATATGAAATAAAGCTTCAAGGGAAGGTTACTGGCAATCAATTACTGTTTTTCCTCACCTCTCCCCATGGTGACGCTACTGGGGCGGGGCAGTATTCTTCGTTTTCAGGAGAATTTTGCCTTATAATAGCAACAGGTACTACGGCAGAACGTTGTAGGGACCGCATCAAACAGCTGCCCAAACCTGAACGTAGAGTAGTAAGCAGTGGTTCAGTTCCTGGATCTCACCGAACATGGAGTTCACTAACAAAAGATGTGGCCTCAGTATCATTGAAGGACGCATACAACATATAGCCCTGCTAAAGTCGTGTCACAGCGCTCGCAGGATCGCTCTTGATAGAGCAGTCCTTCTCTCAATACCGTCCACCAAAATAGGGTGATTCTGATGTTGAACTAATTTATTTCGTTTGGCATTGGTAGGATCATGCATATAATGCAAATGTTGACATCAACGCTTTTTAGTACCGAAAACCGCAGAAGTAATTATAAGAACACGGTCAAGGCGAGATCCGTCAAAGTCGTCCGACTGGAAGGGACGAGTTTCGAAAACCTTCTATTCCTAGGCCTTTTTGAGGCTCAACCGTGGACGATCTTATCGGCGGAGGGAGCGAATCACCTCAGTGGCGTACACCGCCTTTTAAACGTCTTACAATGAGGCCCACACTAGAGCGTAATGCGCAATAGCTCTTTGTCTCCGCCCAAACTGTTATCCTGGAAAGTGACTTTGAGTAGTCTTCGGCAGTGTATGTTAAAACCAGTCGGATCGGCCGGAAGAAGGGCCCCCCCCCTAGAAGACAGTCCTCAAAATTTTCTATAGGGCACTCCCGTCGCTGATGAGGAAGCGAGCAGAATAAACGGCACCAACCATTTGGTATACTCCCTACGGTTATCCCTCACTAACTTCATCTGCCCAACCATTGCTCAGTTTCACTTACTCCCCATTTCCTGGAGTTTTTCGGATGTATTTTGAGGGTTTTTGTCCCCGGCACCGTTCACTTCGGCGAACGCCCTGCCCATCGCGGGTGTGCTTCATTCATTCCGTCCGCCAACTGTTTGCCTATCGTTTCCCACAATTTCCGCTCTCCGGGATCTTCTAGAACCGAATTACGAATTTTTGAAAGTTCTGTAGCGAGCACCGCCCACCTATAGCACGCCCGCCCATCACGGGTGTGACTCCCTCATTTCATCCGCCAACTGACTGCTTATCGTTTCCCACAATTTCCGCTCTCCGGGATCTTCTAGAACCGAATTACGAATTTTTGAAAGTTCTGTAGCGAGCACCGCCCACCTATAGCACGCCTCGCCCATCACGGGTGTGACTCCCTCATTTCATCCGCCAACTGACTGCTTATCGTTTCCCACAATTTCCGCTCTCCGGGATCTTCTAGAACCGAACTACGAATTTTTGAACTATGTAGCTCACAACTGTGCGCACGCCCCGCCCACAGTGGGCGGGGCTTAGCTCAGTTCATGTGTGTTCCGTACATCTTGGCCCATGCCCTACCCAACCCACCCTTGACCCGCCCCCTCCAACTGGCTCTTCAGGTGATTCCGAATTTCCGGACAGACAGACAGACAGACAAACAGACAAACAGACAAACAGACAGACAGACGTTGCCGTTTATATATAGTAGGATTATGCAAAAGTTGTATGTTTGGGAACCTAATTATGAATTATTGCCGACGGCACCAACCATTTGGTATACTCCCTACGGTTATCCCTACTAACTTCATCTGCCCAACCATTGCTCATTTCACTTACTCCCCATTTCCTGGAGTTTTTCGGATGTATTTTGAGGGTTTTTGTCCCCGGCACCGTTCACTTCGGCGAACGCCCTGCCCATCGCGGGTGTGCTTCATTCA